AGAAATCAGAGCCCAGGGCAAAAGCTTTACACCTCAGTGAGGAGGAGTCCAATCCCAGGAAGCAGGAACAAGGAAGAAGAGCAGATAGGGAAGGCCCAGCTCTGTCATCATGTAACTCAGGGCTTGGTCTCTGGGGCTCTCCTTACACAGGACCCTTGGCATACTGCATCTCAGTACGACTATCCAGGGAAGGAAGGGAGAATTTACCTGCTGGCTTCCGCCTGTACCCCAGCTCCTGCTTGTCAAGTCCTCCCCACTCCCCCGCCATGACCTCCCCCACCCCTCTGTGTTGTGTGGAGCAGCTCCCCCAGGCAGCCTCTGGGGAAGCCAGAGCCCCCACGGGGCTAGTCTGACCATTGCACAGGCATGGATGGAGGCCAGTGTCTCTGTGTCAGTTGGTGCCACATGCACAGGGGTAGGGGGAGGGGGGCGCTTCTTGGTTTGAGGTGCTGGCAGTAACAGCAGAGGGGTCTGTCTCTAAGGCTGTGGGAATAACTCAGAGGGGTCAGGAAGCAGGACAAGTGGGACTGAGGGTAGGGGCAGAGTGGAGGGAGGGGCGTGGGGGCAGAGAGGTCAGTGTGGCTACTCAGATTTGGGGTCCTATATAAGCTAAGTCCAGTACCAGCTCACAGATCCTCGTCTGGCTTAGTGCTCTTCAGAATACTCAAGATGACCCGCCACAATACTGCATATGCATTTGAGTGGAGCATATATTCACAGGAATGGAGTGTCCATAAGGTAAGCACTCATCTTTTTGAATGATTTTGTTTTGTCGCTTGGCATGTTATTTGCTGCTCAATATTGATGAGCTGGAAAACAGGGTCGTGGCAAAAATTTGTGAGTCTGAATAAATAAGGTTGAGTAAAGGCGGTTGGCCCCTCTCTTTGCCCATTGTCCCACTTCGTCTCTCTCTCCTGTCCCCCATAGGAGGTGGTCCGTTGTGGCTTGGAAGCCTGGCCGGGTCAGCCCACATTCTCCCTGTGCACATTTATTTCACAGGTGACTGAGCTTCATTTCCTCCTACTTGGGGGCCTTCCTTAGACCCCCTGTAGCCTCAGCCTAGGCCCTGGGAGCCGGATGGGACTTCTGTCTCGGGATTCGTACCATGGTGAAGGGTTTTATTTTTCATGCCCTCCACTTTTACCCATCACTGTTCCCTCCCCTCATTGTGGCTTTTCACTCATCCCAGCTTCTTAATTAAAATACTCATTCTTTAGTGCTTTGTCATTGCCTTGAAAAATTTCCCAAATCACACTTACCTCTTGAAGGAATACCTTACTTAATCTCCATGCTGGCTACTTTTCTCCCTAAATCAAAGTTAAACAATTATTTCTGAGTGTGATTTTAGGTCTAGAATTTTGAATTTATTGCCTCCATTCCCTTAATTTCTCGATGACTAAGTGGACCATGATTTAAGAAATCTTGGAGGAAACCCTTAACATCATAGCTCTTCTTAGATCAGAGTGGCCCTCACTTCCATAAATCCTAGCAAAAATAAAGGCATGGGCTTGCAGAATAGAAAATGGCCTCAGAAGGTGATTGAGTATGACCACCTCCCACCCCACCCCCCTCCAACTCCCACTGGAGACATGAGACATGAAGAAACTAGGCCTGGAAAGGCTCAGCCAAAGTGTGGTAGAGGCAGGAGAGGGACCCGGTCCTTGTGCCTTTCTGTCTGGGGCTCTCCAAAGATCCAGACTGGTTCTTCAGTCCACTGCATGGTTTGGTTTGAAGATTTTTTAAGACGTTTTTCGGACAGGCAGCAGAATGTTCAATTATGCAAGACCAGGAAGACTCTTTCCTGCCTTCTCCTACCTTCTCACATGTCCTCCCAGTCTGGCTGCTAACAGGTGTTTCTGGGTGCTGTCTGACCAGCCCAGGGGGATCTGATCCATAGCTGGTGACAAGGAAACTTGTGGCTGAATCTGGAGGAGGTGCCCTGCTTCTTCCCGATCCTGCGGCTCTGGGGTCTCTCTGCGTGACCCGATATGCCGGTGCACGCTGAAATGACCTGTAGGAGACCCATTGTTTGGCTGCAGTTTTTTAACGTACTGTTGTGTTTTGGGTAAGAATAGAAATAGAAGAAAGTTTTAAAACTGGTAAAGTAAATATCCATAGGAGATTTTTGAATTTCCTGATCTTGCAAAAATACAGTGCTCACTTCCTTTTGTGTGTCTCTGAGTCTGTCTTGGGAAATCGCTCACCAATCCCTACAATGGGGTTGGAGGCAGTTATCTGAACTTATGTTTCCTTCTAACTTCCCCCTTCCAAACTTACTGAATTATATGAATTCAAAACTTAACTCCCCCCCCCCCCCCCCCCCCTTTTTGCCCAACATCCCAATTGGCTACCGAGAAGCATCAGTATGCTTGCAAATTCTGAGACAGGGTTGCGAGCAAATTCTTTGTGGGGAATCTAGCCTGTTTTCCATGTTGGGGGAGTATTATTAAACCAAGAATTGGGGGCACCTGGGTGACTCAGTCGGTTAAGCGGCTGCCTTCGCCTCGGGTCATGATCCCAGGGTCCGGGGATCGAGTCCTGCATCGGGCTCCCTGCTGAGCAGCGAGCCCGCTTCTCCCTCTCCCTCTGCCTGCCTCTCTGCCTACTTGTGCTCTCTAGCTCTCTGTCAAATAAATAAATAAAATCTTAAAAAAAAAAAAAACCAAAAAACAAGAATTGCCCTGAGAGGTCCAAGCACAGAGCAATTCAGAGAGGTGTCAAGGTCTGCTGGTGTCTGATGCCGCTGCCCTGAAGTCTTGTTTTATTTTGTCATTCACACTTCACCTTTTTTATTCCAAGGTGACTTTAATTCCACCCTTATTTTATGCACAGTAGTCACAATAGCTCACTTCAGATGTTAGCATTATCTCCGAGGGATATTCTGTACATCTGGTTTGTAGCAGCTACATTCCCCCCTTCTTCGGGAAGCCAAGGAAGTCTGTGGAAGTCCAGTCCCTGTTCGCTGCACTAAACAGAGCTATTTCAGAGCGTGGTCAATCTACAGACCTTGGCTTACATATGACCCGTAGTTATTAAAAAGACACACCCCAAGGCCTGCCTTGGTTATGTAATAGGGCCACTGGGCTGACTCAGGGACTTTGTGCTCAGAGCTGAGAACAGAAATCTGCTTTTCCAAACACCTCAAAGTGTGGGAGGGGAGCTAAACCCAGTCTCTGTGCTGTGGGGCTCCATCTTGTCCACGGACTTAGAATTAAATTTCAGAGGGAGGCATAGCCTATTTCCAAATTCCCCTGTTTCCTTTTATGTCCAGTCCTTCTCTCTCTCCCAGGATGGAAAGTGCCCTCCTTTCCCCAGTCCCGCTGTAGAGAATCTGGCCTCAAGCCAGCCTTGGGGGTTCAGTCACGGATGGCCTTGGCAAAGATTCATGGTCAAATATGAGAGAGCATCATTCCTGCCAAGGCCCTAGGGCACTGAGGATGGTATGGCTTTTGTCCTTCTGAGCCCACATCACTGTTTCTAAGTGGGAAGTCACAGCGACGGAGACCTGGAAGTCACCCAGGTCTCATGCACTCCTTATTTTGCAGATGGGGAAACTGATACTTAGAGCAGAGATATTACTGGCCTGGGTTATAGACTGGGCAGTGGTAGGGGGAGAGCTGGATCTCAGATGGAAGCCTGTGTGAGGGTAGGGACCATGCTGGTCCACCCACTGCTGTCTTCCCAGCACCTAGCACAGTGCCTGGTACATGGGAGGGGCCCAGGAAATATCTGTTGAAGGAAAGAGCAAATGTAATACCTTTACTCCATGCCAGCATTTTATTCTTCCTCTTCTCTTGATATTTAACTAAACTTATCCTTAGAAAATCCCCTCTGTCCCCTCCTCCAGGCCAGAAGAGATCACAGGGCCATGGACAAGACACTGTCCCACTACACCAGCCAGTTACCCGGTGCCCACATAGACAGAGCAGGGGGCAGTCGCCCAGAAAGCCTCCTGCCCATCAGTTACCACCAGCCTGGCCTAGCTAGGAGTGCTTAAATCTGACGCCAGACTTGGGCTATAGCTAGACCGCTGGTGGGGGTGGGGAGGGGTGCTAGTTGTTACAAAAGTGTTTGCAATTTATTTGGGCACCAAGACTGATCTCTAGGTCAATTAGTGAAAGCAAATGACAACGGAGTTGGGGGTCTCCAAAAGTTCTGGATGTTGAATAGGGGGTCCAGAAAGGTTTGAGAGCCCCAGGCTTGGGGATGAAGTCTGGGCAGTGAAAATGTCTCGTTGGAAGAGAGAATAGGGGACTCTCTTGTCCCAGCTTGGCCAGGCCAAGCCCACATCACCTGGGACTGCCCTTGTCTGCCCAGGATTTTGTAAGATTCTCCGGCTGGGAGAGGGCAGAGTCCGAAGAGAGGTACAAAAACTTCGCTCTTTCGCAGGTTGTTGGCTCTCAGCGAGGGGGCGTGTCACTTCACTTAGCCTCCCGGTGTCCTGGCCCGCCGAGGCTCCACAGCTATGGCGGCTGATTAAGACCACTTGTGCCTCTTGAGAGCACAGGCTGGGGAACTCGGCCCGGGAAGCAGCCAGAGGAGGGGAGAGAAGGGGTGTGTTGGGGAGTGGAAGGGGGATGTCGCCTGCAGATCTCTACGAGAGCCCGGGGCTGAAGCGCACCGCCTTCAGCGGCGGGTGCGGAGATCGCCCTGGAGCGCTGGGAGTCCTCGCGCCCCGCGTGCGCGCCCGGCTGCTCCACGCACCTGCCGCGGGCCCCGCGCGGGTCTGAGCGGCGGGCGGGCGGGCGCCGCGCGCACAGGTGGCGGCGATTGGGCAGGCGGGGACCGGAGGGTGACGTCACGAGCTCCGGTCCCGGCGGCAGAAATAGGGCAGCCGCGGCGGCGGTGGTACGGCAGCGGCGGCTCACGGAGCTGGAGCCGAGACAGCCTCCAGCGCGTTCGGGACCCGCCGACAGCCAGAGAGACCGACCCAAAGACGCGGGGCCGGGTCGCCGCCACCGCCACCGCCACCGCCTCCACGGGCGCTCCCGTCCGCCCGCGTCCGGCCACCTGGTCTTCCCTCGGCCCCGGCCACCTCAGGTACGCGGGCGCGGGGAGGGTGCCAAGCCGCCGCCGCCACCAGCCGGTCCCGCTGCGCCCCGCTGGGGTCCCGGCGCCCGCGGCCCCGCGTTTCCCTGCAGGGCCCGGCGCGGGCGCTCGCTTGTCCTCACCGCCGGCGCCGGAGAGCCAAGTTTGCCCGCCTGGCGGGCGGCGGGCACGGGACCACGAGACTCGGGCTCGCCCGGGCTACCCCGGCCCCGGCCAGGACTCGGGGGAAAGGCTGGGGCGCCGAGGCTGGTGGCCCGGGTCTGCAGTAGGTATCGGAGTGACCCGGCCGGAGCGCGGAGCAGAACCGCTCCCGCCGAGCCCGCTGCCCGCGCCGGCTCCGAGACCCCGCAGGCGCCGCTCTCGGTGCTCGGGCCCCCGAGCGGCCTCGGCGAGCTGGGCGAGTAGCAGCCCCTCGGCTCGGCTCGGTGCCCTTGGCCCCGCGCTGGGGTGCGGAGCGGGCGTCCTCGCTGCCTCCTCCCTCCAGCTTTGCGGGGAAACTTGCGTGTGCGCGCTGCAGCCCGAAGGGCCCGCTGCGCCCCGCCTGGCGGTCGCTCCCCCGAGGTCCGCCGCGTCTGCACGTTGGGGCTCGGCGGAGGCTGAGGAGGGGGCACCGTGGCACCACCTCGTTCCGCGAAGCCCGCGGCTCCGGTTCTGTCCAGCTAGTCTCTGTTCCAAGAGAGCGACCAGTGTTCCCTGCCGGGGGGTCACTAAGGAGCAGTTTGTTTGGGGCACGCTCGGGCAGGGAGCTTGGTGCTAAGAGAGCTTGTGCGGTGGATGATCTCCGCCCCTCTCTGCACCAGCAAAGGACACCTATTTCAAGTTTGGGGGGCACCTAGGCGACGCAGACAGAGCGCTGCGCTTGGGGCGCTTGTCGCCCGGAGTTGGGGGCCGAGCGCAGCGCGAGCCTTCGGGGCCCCCTTGAGCTGACCAAGCGGCGCCTCCGGCGCACTCGCCCGCGGCCTGCCACCTGAGGACTTCGGCGCCCGCCACTCTAGCAAGGGCAGAAACCCGCTGGAAGCAGCAGGATTTCTCGCAGTGCCCGGGATGTGGCAAGCAGCCCGTGCAGTGCGCAGGTGTGCTGAAGTTGCCGGGGCCCCGCGGAGTCGGACCCTGCTAGGTCTCTATCTCGCCCTGCTAGTCAGTCCCCCTGCGCTGTCCAGCCGACCTCGTTCCCATAACTGTCGCCGACATTGATGAATCGCGCTGCCGTCGCTCTTCTCCGCTCTCCTCTAGGTGTCGCTTCCTCCGAGGTTTCCCGCGAGTGAAAAACAGCGCCAGTAGCTTTGATCGGTTCCCTTCCTAAATTTATTGCAAGCCTGTGCACGGGGAATTGTGCTAGATGGGTCCCCGAGATAGAAACATTCGTCCACATTCTGTGGGCCACACGTAAACAGAATTTCATTAGGAGGTGGCATGGTAACTCTTAACCAAACGTGCACTGGGAATGGGCCTATATCACAATCTCTGAGGCATCGGGAAGACATTCCGACGTTTCTCGAAGATCTAAAGTTATTTTCCCACCACCGGGCTTAGGGGAAAGTCAGACATGACTTTTAGCAGTGTCCTGTCAGTGCTGGAGTGGGTGGGTTCCTGTGCTTGCCCCTCCCGGCTCCCAGGACAGGCTCTGATCTGGGTTGTTGTCAGGCGGAGGGCTCAGCTTGGGAGTAAATGGTCAGGGGAGTAAATGATGGAGCTTCTAGGACACCAGAGCCCCAGCAATCCTAAGGCAGTAGCTCAAACCACAGCCATGAACCAATGCCCCATAGAGCCCATGGCTGCTTCCCCTCTTGGTTTTGTGAAAAGGCACTGCAGCATTACTACAGCATTTCTCTTCAGACACACTCAGCTGAATGGTAGCTTTCTTCCCATCCTAGGAAAAGAGACGGCCCCTCCCCCAAGACTTTAGACTGAGCCAAAGGTCATGCAAGATGATAGCCTCCTTCATATATACCGTAATGTGTTAATGTTCCAGTGGCTTTTTCTGTCTTAGACATTTTTCACCACCCTCAATTTTCCTTAATCTCGGGAAATCTGTTTTTATTCCAGAGAGGGGCCAGCCTATTCCCATGGGCCTTGGGGGAACTTTTGTCCCTTGTGCTCTGTCCTGGAGGTGGGTGCGTGAGGGGTAGGTTGGATTTTTCTACTTTGACCCATCAGTTGCTCAGGATTCTTCTCAGTCTCAGAGTTGCAGGATTTTTTTTTTTTTAAGTGATCTTCATGTTGTGATCTTCTGTTGGACTTAATACTATATTCCAGAAACAGGTCATTGAGTAGCCAGAATTTCTTAGATCTTTAATTCCTACTTTACCTTTCTTGGTATGTTTCTGCAAATGCAACCTTCTTGTGTTGCTGTGTGCGGTCAAGTGTGTGCTTACTAACTTGATGAAATTAGGAAGTTATTTCAAGAGCACATATGTCCTTACATTTTCTTTCTCTTAATGTGTAACACAAGGCATGGAACTTTGAGTAAAATAGAACTCCTGTTGGGAGAACGTGGTACTTAAGCAGTATAATCTAAATGTTGAAATGACGAGGGTTCCTGGAACTCACAGGTGTGTGGGTTAAACTTCCTGGTATATAGAAGTGTCATAGATTGATACATTGCACACAGACTAATTTAGACATTCAGTTTAACAAATGTTGGAACAATTAACCAAAGATAAAGAGCAGATAATCAATGGGAAATGCAGTGTAACTTCATTATGGCTTGCTGCAGGGGTAGCCTGATATATTTCCATGCCTAAGTTCCCTGGGTTGGTATTTGAGGGGCTATCTTAGGAAGTTTGAACCCCTTGTTTTTTTCTTAAAACACCTGGATATCAAAACTAGGGTCCCGAACCTTTCAGAAGAAATTAATGTGTAGCCTCATGGTGTTGGGTTAGGGTCAATGTTTTTTTTTTTTCTTCTTCTTCTTTTAACACTGGGTAGACCTACTGGAGGCTGCAGGATTTTGGTGGTCTCCAGGCGGTTTCCATTTGTTGATTGCCAACATCCCATATGCAAAATGCAATGCTCCTATAGTAATTGGCTAACGCATACACTTGGTTAGTTGGAAAGGTTGGAAGTTGAGGTGCCTCAGGGTCCCAAACCTTACTGTTCTCTTTAAGGCTGGGGTGGTATTGCTTGGTTCTACCAAAGCATCTTCATGATTTCTGGTCTTGATGGTTACAAAGAGAAGCCATTTCCATGTGACTAATCTGTAATGTCTAGTTTGGTAACGTTCCCATGTTCTGGGAGAGACGCTGAGAGAGAACTGGTGAATAATGTCTCTAGAAGCTCTCAGGGTCTGAATTCCCACTCTTCCCAAACAAGGCCGCTTCCTAGAAGAGAGAAGCGAAGTTTGTATCAGAACCATTGCCAGTTTAGTGTCCATGCATCTCTCTGGCCTCTGACCCTGTTCAATACCCACCACTCGCATGCTGGTGTGTCTTCTGTGGTGGGGCAGATTTGGAATCGACCTCTTCACTCCTATTTCTCCCTAACCACTTGCATTCTTACATCGCATTTTTCAACTTTCTTGAAAAAGCGAGTCAGTTTTCCGAATGTCACATCATACAAATTGGTAGTACCTCTATGATTTTAAATACAAGTAATAGCACAGGTAGTGGCTTATAATAATAAAACCAGAAAAATCCTGTACTTTACACACAGAGCTGGTAGATGATCTAGTAGGGCCCATCCAGCACTAAGAAAAGCAAAATTAGTCTGATCGAGACAGAATGCCAGCATTCCGTATGTGTTTGTGATAATGTAAGAAGCAAAGCCGTTGCCTAGGGGTCAGGATGCCTGGTTTCAGTCTACATCTGGCTCCTGACTTGGCTCATACATTGGGTGAATTCTCTGACCCTCCAGGCTTCTGGTGTCCTATCTGGGCCGCAGCTAACCTAGCACCTGATTCTCTTGAGCATGGGGAAAAGTGAGGCTTGGGTGGAAAACCTCCGAGGAACTAGGTCTTAAATATCAAGTCATTGTGCATTATGGGTTGTTTGAAAGAAAAGGCAGTCCCAGCTCTTTTACGAGAACAATCTCCAATAGATTTATAGCCAGTCTTAGGACTCTAACATGGATTGAATGAAGCTTATAAACCTAAATAGATCTCAAAAGGAACTCGAGGTTGAAAAAGAGGGTTTGCGATATTATAGCTGGTACCTTCCCATTTCTATAATGAGGAGATTCTTGTATTTTCTTCTGTCTGAAGATCAATAGGGCTATTTGAAGGTGAGGAGTAATGAGTCAACAGGTCTACTTCCCTCAAAGTGACTGTCTTCACCATGCTGGCACTCCCCATCAGCTGAGAGGCATCCTTGCTGCCCAGCATTCTGTGCATCTCCTCCTCATTTCTTTCTTTCTTTTTCTTTTTTTTGTTCAACTACACTTCTTCCTGCCAATAAAGACAGCAGCTATGAAAGCTGAGGACCGTGTGCCAAGTGGCCGCATTCCGGGGAGGGGCGCAGCGAGGAGCAGCCTGGCTCTTTCCTTGTGCTCTGCTCCTCTGGGGGAGTGCGGCTCATGGCAGCTGTCAGAGGAAAGGAGAGGCTCGGGATTGCCTATCTTGCTCGACCTGGGTTTTCCCCATCTTGCTAAGAACAACTGTTTATTGAAACAAAATACTGCTAAGTATTGAGAGGCCGCAGAGGGGAGGACGTGAAGAGCGCAGACGTCTCGCCGAGTCCACCTGTGCGGCTTGGAGTCCCAGCTCTGCCATTTATATGCCACATGGCTTTGCAGGGTACTTAGCCTCTCTGTGACCTGTCTGCTGTGTCATCTGACTAGGGGATGACTAATGCCCTCCTCATGGAGCAGAAGGGAAGACAGTGAGTTAATACCTGTGAAGTGTTTAGAATAGTGCCTGACACACATTACTCTTACATAAGTGCTAACCAAAGAGATCGCTTCTATTTGGTTATTAGATAGGTCATCAAAACTGATTTAGACCCAATATTCTTTTTTTGTGAACCGAACCATCATAAAACTTGAGTTGTAAATTTTTAGGCTGTTGCTCCTGCAGGTAAAATGAATTGTCAAACACAGTGAGTGTAAAATGACATCGAACATGCATCCACCGTGCAAATGAAGTCCCATCTGGTGGGACTGGTGGTGGTCTGGTGGTGGCCAAGCTGAGCCAAACGTTACAAAGAAGCTGGAAATATTTCAGTAATTGACCTGGCTCTTGTGTTTCCTTGTCTTTAAGTCTTTGGGGAACCTCAGCGCCAACCAGATAAAACCAGAGACGAGTCCGGGTGCCGCAGGGCTGGAGCCCAGGCTTCCTGAAGCACAACTCAAAACAGCCGGTTTAATACCACAGGTCTGGGGGCTCCCTCTAAAATAGTTTCCGAGCTTGCCAAAATAACAATTGAAACGAATGGATTTTATTTTAATGCTATCCATTAATAATAAAACATCAAACATAATTAGTCCTGGATTACTAGGCAAACTGAGAACTAAATAGTCGGTTTCGTGGCTTGAATATTTCATAACTCCAGAAATTGACGTTTGTATGTTAAGTAAGTTTTGATTATTTTGCTGTTTTTGGTTTATTCAGGCTTGAAAGCATGAGAAGGGAGAAAAGAAGACCTTTTGTACGTGTGCTTCCCCACGAGCACTGTTTGATAGTGGATAAGTAGGGAAGAATTACCAAAAATAAAGTAGGAAGTAGTGTCTTTCTAGTTCTAGCTTGAGTATTGGTATTTTTTAAAAAGATTTATTTATTTTAGAGAGATAGCACGCACGTGCCTGAGCAGGATCGGCAGAGGAAGAGAGAGAATCCCAAGCAGACTCCCACTGAGCACAGAGCCTGATACGGGCCTTGATCTCATGACCCCAAGATCATGACCTGAGCCAAAACCAAGATACCCACGTGCCCCTCAGTATTGGTATTTAAAAAAAAAAATTCCAAAAATCTAGTAAGTGCTTTCTGCAGTTCCAGGCACATGGCTCTGCGTTCAGAAGACAATACTTGATGGAGAGTAGGGAGTTGCCCTATTTATTTTCAGAAGAACTGGTGGCAGTTTTTATTTTCTTTTAGTCCTGAATGTGATTTTTTTTTCCTCCACACTCTGCAGTCCGTGTGAAGAACTCATACACTGTAGCCAGAGCCCCGATCGGGAGCGTGGGCTCTGGGGGCTGCCGGGAATGCTCTAGTTCTGTCCCACGTAGCAGGGCACACGGCACCCTTGCCCTCAGCTCTGCCTCCTTCCGAGTGCAGAGCGGATACTGACAGTGACGAGACCATGACCTTCATACTGTGTTTACTGCCCACTCAGACTACTGCCCTGGTCGCTCCAGCTTTGCCAACAGATGTCAAAGATGAAGAGACGGAGAGAGAAATGGAAGCCTGTGGACTGTTTGTACGACAAGAGAAACATTTTCTTTAAAAGACTGTCATGACTTACAACCTTGCCTTTTCTGAGGCCAGTGTTAGATGGCATCATTTTTAGCCTGACTTCTCCTTCCTGTGGGCCTTTCTGTCTCAAGTGAGGGACATAAAGCATATCTGGAAAAGCAGCCAGAGGAAGCTGGGAATGTGGTAGGAGTGAATTTGTTTGGTGGCGCTGGTGTCAGCAGCAGTGATGGTGGGATGCCTCCAACCCTTCTTGTTCAAAGTAGGCATCCTCCAAAGCTCTTGCCATGGGGGTGAGCAGGGGTGGACTCCTCCATCAGCTTGTAATGTCTGTCAAGCAGCTTATCATTTCTGATGGGGACACCTGCCCTAGACCAGTTCGAGGCCAGATCACGTGGGGTGCTGGCCTCCAAGGAGCTCTGTGTCTTCATCTCCCTGGCCATAATCAGGATGCCGTGTGCACCACATGCAATTAAGCACTGAATTGTGTGGTGCTCACAGAAATCAATAACCTCTCTGGTTTCCTTGAGTACGAGTTGTAAATACTGCACGATGAGTTCTATCTCCCTGGCTGCATTTCTTGGAGATACTGAAATCAAGGTTGGAATGTTTACAGTGCAAATCTTAAAAAAAGAAAAAAAAAACGGTAGAGCTGCTTGGACACGTCGACTAGCCTGTGTCCTTGTCCCATTCGCACCCCAGCACATGACAGGGAGTTGGGTATCTGGTGTCGCTGATCCTTAGTTTTTTCATCCACGTACTTCTTTGATTACTTTGAATTGCCCATTTCTCGTCTTCTAGGACTTCAGACCTCTTACCACATGAGCTTCAGGAACCACCTTAAAGGTTATTGAAATTCCATTATCCAGTGGGTGTTTGAATTCCTCTGCAGGAAGGAACAGTCTTGAAAGGAAAATATTGAGCCTAACATGCCCTTTGGAAGCTCGCCATCTTGTAAACTGAGTCATCAGCCACAAACAGGGCGCCACACATTTAACGTAATTCCTCCTCGGTATTTCTTGTGCACTAATTGTGTGCCCAACCCCCAAGGCTTTCTGAAGAGACTGAAGCATGGCTGTGCAGTAACTGAACAGAGTGACACAGCTCCTCCACCCTCGCTTGTTCTTGTAGTTAGAGTGGTAGCTGGTGTATTGGGTGGGTTTCCACATAACCGCTAGCATTTTAGAGTTGTTAACTTTGTGTCTGATGCTGACTTCTTCGACCCTCACTGCAACCCTATGAAATACCTACCGTTGACCCGGTTTTAGAGGTGAATCGACTAAGATTCAGAAGTACTAGAACTTCTCCAAAGTGGAACAGAAGGGTCGCTGGTAGGATTTAAACTCTGGTGTCTCTGATTCTGGAGTACAAGTTCTCCCTACCCGCCCTGTGATGTGCTTATATTTTGCAATGCTTAATTCTGAACATTTGTCATTTTCTCAACAGAGTCCACGAAATGAAACCAGGACGCTTATGGCTGCATCTCGTGCTGCTTGGGGCCTCTCTGCCCTCTGGGCTGGGATGGATGGACCCAGGACCCAGCAGAGGCCTGAACATGGGTGTGGGTGAGCCACAGATGGAGGTATAGTCACATAACTCCTGATAGGACACTTAAAACTTGCTGCGTTTCAGTATTAGCATATCTGACTTCTTCTCTACCTTTGGTTTATATCAGTTAGATTGCAGTGTGAATTTAAATTGTTCCCCCTTGTTGGTAGGGGACAGAAAGATACAACATGCATTGGTCTGGACAGGAGGTTTTATATCACGCTGTAAGTAATAGTCTAAAATCTCTGCAATGCTGAAAATGTGTTCTAAAACCAAGCTTTAGTTGAATGGTTTGTCTTCCACAAAGACCCTCGAGAGAATGGCCTTTTTGTATATTTAATAAAACTCTGAAAATGCAGACTCAATGGTGGAGCACACCCATGTGAATTAATGAAGTCTTTTAATTATAAAATGTGTTTTAAAAGAGAGAGACTCCTTTTCACGTACCCAGATAAAAAGAACCAGGCTGAGAAAGAACTGGCAAGTAGGGGTCCTAAGGGAGACTCTCTTAATGAACAGATAAGAATGATTAATGGCATGTGAGGTATATATAAATGCTACTAAAGTGCTTGAAAAACTTATTCTCAAATGCCTCCCTAGAGAGTCTCGTTACACTGCTAATTGCTTAGCGAACTTGGTCTTAAGTACTGGAGAGGATACATAAGCTGCACCCTAGCCCTGCTCAGGTAGTAGGCCTGAGGAATTCGGGGCTCGTGAGGGGAAAAGTTTCTCTGCAGAAAATGCTTTGTATGTGCCAGACCCTAAGAAAAGACTACACCCTTCATTAAAGCTACCTGGGATTTTCTTGATGACACGGTAAATACACAGTCTTACCCAACAGCTTCTCAGGCCATTTCAGCTTGCACTGCCCTCCTGGTACACGCCCTACCTCTTGTCTGTGTGCTTGTTTCCTGTCCTGTGGAATGAGAGGGAAAAATTACCTCCAAAAGCCAACATTACCAGAGAGTGAATAATGACACACAGTGTATGGTTGGTAGGATTAATGCATGATTTGATCAAAGGACATGATTTCTTTCTCATTATTACTTAATCGTAATGCAATCCCAGACTTACAAACCTTAATCTCTGGGGAGCTTCAGAAGTTGTTGAATGCCCACGTTTGCTGCTGAGGTTCACGTGGCTTCCTTTTGTGGTGAGCAGATGATTGAAGAGCATCACTATCTCTCCCATCACAGTCCATGAAGGATGCGACTTAATGGTCTTTTGAAAGAGCCTGGAGGCTGACTTGCTAGCCAGCACAGCATTTCCCATATGGGATGGCTTAATCATATTCACACAGAGGGAAAAGGATCCTACAAATATATTGTTGAATATTTAATAGCAAAGCAAACAGGCAAACACACAGATAAGCTTTTTTTAGTCTTCTTACTATTGGGGCTCATTGGCCCACTGTTTTAAATTGCCTTATTTCAATTAAACGAGTCACACCAATTAAGGTAGGATTTAGCTGGAGGTAAAGTGAAGGTAAGTTAATATCAACCAAGGGCATCTTTGTCTTAGCTGCTAACAGCCTGACACTTGGTGCACCATGGAGAGAGAGCAGATAGCGCTCATTCTGAGGCAGGAAGGCTTTTTGTTGGTTAGTTTTGGGCGTGTTGTTTTTCTAACCCCATCAGGACAGAGCCCAGGAGATGAAACTGTCTCCCAGTTCCAGGCCTCATGCTGCTTAGGGAAAAGGAAGTGATGCCCATATAGACTCCAAACGCAGAAGAGCTGCCCTGTTGATCCAGTGTTCGTGGTGGATTGCATTTTTGCCAAGTGTAATAACGTCTACTCGTGGAGTATTTTACTTTTATCAATGATGAAATGAGCTGATGACCATGCGGATGGGCCTAGGATACAGGACGGCCTCAGCAAAGGTTCAGACAGAGCAAAACATGGATACATAACTGAACTGCTTGCTGATGCTGCCCACGCTCCATGTATGGCCTCTCTATGCCATTCTTCACTAGCATCCTCATGTCTGGGATGCTGTCGCTTCTTCCCCCATGGCTGACTCCTCTCCTCCAAGGCCCAGCTCTGGTTCTTACTTTTCTCTGGAACTTTCTTTGAGTACGCTTTGGTCACATTTGATGTCTTGTTCTGAACTAGTCCTTCTTTTTTTTTTTTAACTCATATTTTTACTTTAGCATACAGAGGAAGCCTATGTTATCTATGTTCCTCTTCCTTTCTATGTCTAATAATTTTCAGAGCAAAAGAGAGACTCCTTGTGTTTTTGAGTTGATTGGTATTCAACATTTAGTACTAGTCGTGAAGTCACTCTAGCGCTTTCAAAACTCAGTCTAGACAGTCAGTTATTTCCATGTGTGATAACCCTCCCTTGCACAGCAGGTGCATGTCCAGTGGGGACATGAATGGTGCCCCCAGCCATCCTGTAAGCAGCTTGCAGGCCAGGCTTGTCGCTCATCAACGTCCAGGGTGCTCCTTGTATGTTAGAGCTTCTGGGCAGTTTCTTCTTTGAATTGCAGCTATTAATGCATCCAGAGCTGACTGCCAAACTATACTAAACTCCTCTCGCAGTTTCCTCAGACCGTCTTACTTTCTGGAAGAATCATAACCAACTGAGTTTCCTGAGACTCCATAAATTAATCAGAAAACCTCTTCAGGACCTAAGTGGTAAAGTGTTTCTGTGTATGTTTTCTTCCTGCTAATAGTACTTTACAAAAACATTTATTGACTTCAGATTTTTAAAGTACTTGGAAAGCATTAATAAGATTTGACTTCCCTTTAAAGTTATTACACCAATTACTTGAGTGTCCTAAGGGTAAGTAAGAATTAAATGACCAGTGCATGTGTGTGTTCACGCATTCTTAAAGCAATGATAGCATATGTAAGTTTTGTTAAATTATTGTTTTATGTACAAAGACTGCAGTTGAAATAGCTTCAAGGAGTTTATCATTTTACAAATGTAGATGAAAAGAAATGGAGCTGGGTGGAGTGCCTCTTTAATAAGAGCTGAGTGGCAGACTGTGGCGTAGAATACTGATGAACTTCTGAATTCAGAGGAAACAATTCTGAGACCTATGACTCAACGAAATTCTAAAATAACTAAAATTTCTCCCTTTCCCCTATACTCTGGCCAAGATAAATTCAGGACTAAAATCAGTATTGGTAGAATTTTATATTTGGGGAGACCAGGAAAGTGAGAGGGACAGCCCCAGGGACCTGCCCCCTCCTGAGGGGCAGACATTTGTGGGAGGGTCCCCCCTACCTTTGAGCCCTGGACGCTGTGTTCCCTCCGTTCTCTGGGGCCTGGGAATGGATGGTGGCCATTCACAGCCTTATGCGTCCTTCATGTATTCTGCTGTGCCTTCTCTACACTGCTCCGACCCACAGTTTCTAGTCCTGCACTGAATAACTACAAATGTGGAGGTTCCTTTAAAATTGTTAACCTCATATGCCTCAGTGCTTACAGACAAGGGAGGGGCTTTGAGATCAGATACCCAATGTTTTCAATGTGTGCAAGCTCTCAGAGGGAAGTCTTCGAGGAATAAATGTATCCAGTGGTCTCAGTAATCAGGGTGGTCACCCACCTCCCTAACCCCAGGAGTCAGCCTAAGAAAGCACAAAACAGCCCTTTGCCCTTCCTGCACGTGTTGGTCCTAGGTGCCGCTGACTGCACTCAGGGGCGCTCCCGTCCCTGGGTCAGGGTGGCTTCTAATGCAGAGATCTGGAGCACCCTGGCTCCCTTTTATATTGGTCTGGCGTTGAGGAGGATGGGGGCTGCTAAGACTGGGCACTAATTTTTTAAAAAGATTTATTTATTTGACAGAGAGAGACACAGTGAGAGAGGGAACATAAGCAGGGGGCGTGGGAGAGGGAGAAGCAGGCTTCCCGCTGAGCAGGGAGCCCGATGCGGGGCTCGAACCCAGGACCCTGGGATCATGACCTGAGCCGAAGGCAGACGCTTAACGACTGAGCCACCCAGGCGCCCCCCGGGCACTAGTTTTTTTTTTAAAAATATTTCTTTTCTTGAATCAGTGTCACTGTTCTTACATAGTTGATTGAATTTAAGACAATGCTCTTTCTAGTTATGGTCTCCTCCCCACCCCCAACTCATGCCTCACTCTTCTGATTGGTGACTGGGAGAGTAGCTGATCTTCTTGTAGGCTTTGAGGCATCCATTATTCACTTCCCCTTCCTCTTGCCCCTCAGTCTGTGGGTGTGGGGAAACCACCTCCCTTCTCCCTGTGAACAGCTGGGGTCCGGGCTGGTATTTTCTGACCCTCATCTGTAGACCTGTGCTCATCTCTTATGGATGTTTTCTGTGGAGTCCCCATTCCTAGACACTCAGCGGTGCTAACTCCAGCATTTAACTGGCTTGCCACGATGAGCTTCTGGGTGAGCTGTCTGAGCAAGAGGCCTGAGTGGGCTTTCCCTGGGGTGTGGGACTGCGGGCTGCACCCCTCTTGGAGGATCCAGGACCTCTGTGCAGCTGTAGAACTGGCATGGGGGCTGGGGGGGCGGCTTCTTCTCTGATTCTGGAATATTCAGGCATGGCTCTCTACTGATAATTCTCTGTTAGAGGGTGTGGATTTTTAGTTTCTCAGCTCAGGTTGGGAGAATACAACCTGCCATCTGCAGATGTGTAAGTAAATCCGTAGTATTCTTGGTGGAAGATGGTGGCAAGTACTCCCAAGTTCCTGGGGGAGGGGGGTGGAGGAGCTGGTTCCCACCTCTAGAGTTAGTGCGGGCTGTGCCCTACACCAGGCTCTCTTGAACTTCAGTGGGCTTTCAAAGAGCCGGGGGTCCTGTTAAAATGCTGATGCAGTAGATCTGGGTAGGTCCTGAGATTCTGCATTTCTCATCCACTCCAGGTGAGGCTGATACTTCTGGTCCCAGGGGACGCTGGGCAGAAAAGGCATAGAGGAGTCCCCCATACCCTGCCTGCACACATCCAAGAAGGAGATTCCATTTGGTGATGAACCCCAGCCTTTTTTTTTTTTTTTAAGCTTTTGTCAGTATGATGAGGCTGCCTGTCATCAGCAAAAGGAGAGGAATGTACAGGCTGCA